CTGCCAACCTTGAGCGTGTCAGTCCCTGCACCTGCGTGAGTCAGAGAAGGCCTCCAGTTGACCTTTGATGCAGGAACTTGGGACTTGGCAGCCTCTATAGCTGTGTGAGTCATTTTCCTGAGATAAAGTTATATAGATAGATAGATGATAGATAGATAGATAGACAGATAGATAGATAGATAGATAGTTGTATATATAGATATATATATGGATACCTATTTGGACAGATAGATAGATAGATAGATAGATAGATAGATAGATAGATTGATAGATAGATAGATATAGAAGCTTTACAGGTTTGGTTTCTCTAGACTTCCCAGACTAACATAGTGTCCATCAGGGTTGTATCCTTTCAGCATACTTACTCAATCTGTGTGCTGAGCAAATAATCTGAGAAGCTGGACTGTATGAAGAAGAATGTGCCGTCAGGATTGGAGGAAGATTTAGTAACAATACACAGACTACACAAACTTACCTTCTGAAAGTGAAGATGACTTGAAGCATTTGCGGATGAAGATTAAAGACAGTGTGCACTATGGATTATGCCTCAACATAAAGAAAACAAAAATCCTCACAACTGGACCAGTGAGCAGCATTATGACAAATGGAGGAAAGATTGAAGCTGTCTAAGATCTCATATTACTTGGATCCACAATCAGCACCCATTGAAACTGCAGTCAAGAAATCAGATGACATATTGCAAATTGGCTGCAATGGACCTTGTCAAAGTGTGGAAGAGCAAAGATGTCTCTTTGAAGACTAAGGTGCACCTAACCCGAGCCGTGGTATTTTCAATCACCTCATGTGCGTGTGAAAGCTGGACAATACATAAGGAAGACAGAAGGAAAGTTGATGCTTTGGGGTTGTGGTGCGGGTGGAGATTAGTGGAGGTACCCTGGAGTGCCCAAGAACTAGCAAATCCGTCCTGGGAGAAGCACAGCCTGAATGCTCTTTGGAAGCGAGAATGGTGAGAATACAACTCACCTACTTTGGTCATCATATCAGAAGGGACTATTCCCTGCAGGAGGATACCATGGCTGGTAAAGTGGAGGGTCAGAGAACTAGGGGAAGACCCTCAAGAGATGGACTGACACAGTGGCTGCAATGATGGGCTCGGGTATAGCAGGCCTTGTGTGAATGGAGCGTGCTCAGACAGTGTTCGTCTGTTGCACATGGTGTCCCTGTGAGTCAGAGCTGACTTGACAGCACCTAACCACACCAACAATCACGTCGATTCTAACCCGTGGTGCCCCACACGTGTCAGATTAGAGCTGTGCTCCGTGGCTATTCAATGGCTGACTGTTCAGGACTAGACCACCAGGCCTTTCTTCCTCAGGAACCTCTGTGTGAACTCAAACTGCCAACCTGTCATTTAGTGTCCAAGGGCTTCTCTGTCCCCCCACCGGGGAGTCTGTACACCTCCTGCTTAGATGATGCTGTGGGATGTCAAGACATGGTTTTCCTCCCGATTCTTAGAGAACA